CGGGGGGGGGGGCAAGAGGCTCCTCCAGGCCTGGCCAGCCAGCGTGGAGGCACCGCCGAAGGAAACCGCACGGCCAGGCAAGCGTCATTGCCCCCGATGGGCTCCTCCGGGGACAGGGCATGGGGTGGTGGCCCAGTGCCAGAAGGCTGAGCCTGGCCCAGGCCACCATCATGGCCATCCCCTCCACCATGCTCCACCTCTCCGGCACTGGAAGGAGAGGCTCCTCCTGGCTGGGGTGCTCCAACCACTCGCCCCCGCCTTGCCCTCCACTGGGCCTATTGCCGGCTGTCATCTACCATGGTTCGGTTGCAGCTGGGCTGGAGAAGGGGGCGATCAGGTTGCTAGGGACTCCCCTCCAGGCAGGAGAGGAGGAGGAGGGAAAGGGTTAGGGTCGTGTCCTCATTACCCCCAGGATTGTTATTTTTACCCCATTTGGGGTAATTTACCCCTGTTCCCTGACCACTGCTCTAGGTACTGCCATGAAAAGCACCTGTAATTCCTTGTTTACTACTACCCCACTGCCAGTAACTGAGCTTAAGAAATGGACTGCAGTCGTTCAGAAGGGGAGTGGGGACATACAAAATCTAAGCAGCCATTACAAATTGTATAATGGAACAGAAGGCATGGCTATCTGGGGAACCTCAGGCTGCCAAACAATGCTAGCAAGATCAGATTCAGCTCTGTGACCTGTGGTTCTCAACCCTTACACTAGCCACTGTTGACTGTGCAGACTAATTCCAAATTAATCAATTCCTCTCTACAGCTAGCACAGAAGTATGATCCCCAGACGGAGCAGGAACTGCGGAAATGGATAGAGGAAGTGACGGGGAGGCGGATTGGAGAAAGTTTCATGGAAAGTTTGAAAGACGGAGTCATCTTGTGCGAGTAAGTAACCATGGGAGTTAGGGGGAGATTTGTGTCCTGATAACCACAACCATCTCTCATTCATGCCCTGTCAAGCACTAGAAAGGGATGGCCCGAGTAAAATGGGGAGGGGGGTTCCAGAAGATCATTTGAAACAGGAAGTAGACATTTTGCTTGTTTTGTTACAAGACAAATTGCAAGGCCAAATCAAATGTTTTTAACGCTTAAGTGCAAAGATGGACATGATAAAGGACAAAAATTGTAGGGACCTCACAGAAGCAGGAGACATCAAGAAGAGGTGGCAAAAATACACAAAAGAATTATATCAGAAAGATCTGGATGTCCTGGACAACCCAGATAGTGTGGTTGCTGACCTTGAGCCAGACATCCTGGAGAGTGAAGTCAAGTGGGCCTTAGAAAGCATGGCAAACAAGGCCAGTGGAGGTGATGGCATTCCAGTTGAACTATTTAAAATCTTAAAAGAGGATGCTGTTAAGGTGCTACACTCAGTATGCCAGTGAGTTTGGAAAACTCAGCAGTGGCCAGA